CCGTGAATTTTCTCAATTTTTAAATAGTGGCAATTAATTCATTTTTTTAAAATACAATATGGGCCAAACATAAACAATGCTGCAGGAGGAATTTGGCTACTGGAATAGAGATCGATAACCTGCCATTAATTGATAGCACACAATAGAGGAACACATCTGTTTTCTATTTTAGTAGCAGCTTTTCTATATGAGTGTTTTGTATATTACCCCAGGAGATGATTTCTCCATTTCCTTCTAAAACTTTCAAAATGTTCATCGAGCCATACTGTGATTGTGATGGTTAATTTTAAGTATCAGCTTGGCTAGGCTATGATGCTCAACTGTTTGGTCAAAAACCAGTCTACATGCTGCTGTGAAGGTATTTTAAAGATATAATTAAAAGTTAAATCAGGGGCCGGCCCGGTGGCGCATGCTATAGTGCGCCGCTTGGGAAGCGCGGCGGTGCTCCCGCCGAGGGTTCGGATCCCACATACGCCAAACATAAACAATGCTGCAGGAGGAATTTGGCTACTGGAATACAGATCGATAACCTGCCATTAATTGATAGCACACAATAGAGGAACACATCTGTTCTCTATTTTAGTAGCAGCTTTTCTATATGAGTGTTTTGTATATTACCCCAGGAGATGATATCTCCATTTCCTTCTAAAACTTTCAAAATGTTCATCAGAACCATACTGTGATTGTGATGGTTAATTTTAAGTATCAGCTTGGCTAGGCTATGATGCTCAACTGTTTGGTCAAACACCAGTCTACATGCTGCTGTGAAGGTATTTTTAAGATATAATTAAAAGTTAAATCAGTAGACTTTGTCATCTACAGATTACACTCCATAATATGGGAGGGCCTCACCCAATCAGTTGAGGGCCTTAAGAGCGAAGACTGAGGTTTTCCACAGAAGGAGAAACTCTCCTCCAGACTACAATCTAGAAACCTTTCCTGAATTTCCAGGCTGCTGTCCTTTGGAATTCACACTCATGACTGCAACACCAACTCTAACCTAGGTCTCCAGCCTGGTGGCCTGCTCCACAGATTTCAGTCTTGCCAACACCCACAGACATGTGAGCCAGTTCCTTAAAAACCAATCACGATCTCTCACTTTCTCCATATATCTAACCTCTCACTTTCTCCGTATATCTTATTGGTTCTGTTCCTCTGGAGAGCCCTAATACAGTTATCTACCTTAATCCATTAAACATTGACTGTTCAAATTAGAAAGACGAAAAGGAGAAAGAACTTTAAAGGTTAACACCACAGGAATACTGGAAACAAAGTTTAGGAATAAGATGCTGTTGGAAAAAACCAAAGGATTTGGGTCACTATCCCACAGTGTCACACTGTTCCTTTAGGCTCACAAATGAGGTCAAATGTACACAGACATCACCTCAGAAGAGAAGTTTCATTCATCTTTTTCCATGTACTTGACACTCTTTAATTTGTCTCTGGATATAGGCCTTGAAGGAATGAACATACATTTCCAAAATGCATAATTTCAACAAATTTTACTCTGATTTATAGTGCCATCTTGGAAGAGAAAGGACATAAGCGTTCCTCATAAATGAACTAATATCTTTTCAAAAAGAATACAGAGCAAAGCAATGTTTACCAAGTCCACATAAAAATAGCTCTTAAAACCACATTAGTCAGGAAAGAAGTTGCTCTTTTGCTACTATTTGCAACACAGGTAGAATATCCATAGTTGAGGATTGTAGGTTCTCCTAATGTTCACTTTTTATGTCTGATTTCATCACTTGTCTGTTAAATAAAGATAACAACACTCCCAAATGATACTGGCATCTTTACATGTGGCATTCATGGTCAGGTTCAAATGGCAGTGCAGTTTCCTGTTTAAGAGCTAATGCTATAACAGGAATGTTGGCAAGGAAATCCTCTCACCAAACACCCTTCCCACAAAATGGTCAGGGTACATTTTTCAATCAGGTCACACTCTATAGGCCCCGAAAACACTGTTCAAATGGCAGTGCAGTTTCCTGTTTAAGAGCTAATGCTGTAACAGGAATGTTGGCAAGGAAATCCTCTCACCAAACACCCTACCCACAAAATGGTCAGGGTACATTTTTCAATCAGGTCACACTCTATAGGCCCCGAAAACACTCCGACAAAGAGTTGGTCATGCTGAAGGCCAAGCAGCTAATACACAGCTTTTCCTAATGCAACTTAAAGAGGTTCCACTCTGACAGCACTCCTGGAGATAACAGGAACAGTTGTAAACCGATTACAACAGCGATGCAAAATCCGTTCCATAATGAGAATGAAAATCCCCTGGACAGAACATCCATATTTATTAAGGAACTTGGGCTGAAAATCAAGTGAATGAAAGGCCATGTAAAAAATGTAATCAATTTGATTTGCTGACAAGCCTATCTCACCAAAAACACTTATTAGTCTTCCTCAAGATACCATATATAGATCCTGACTGAGGACTTCAATGCAGCTGAGTTAATGGAGATGGAAAACATAACATTATCAAAACAGAAGCTTGAAAGTAGAGAGATTCCTCAGGTCACAATACCATGAAGA